CAAGTACCTGCGAGTAAGCAAACAAAAAAAATATCAGCTCAATATATATAAAAATAAAACTAGTGCTGAACAAAGCTAAGTATTGGAAAGTAAAAACTAACACTGAAAGTAAAACTCACTACTGCAGGTAGAATTGGTACTGGAAAGTAAAGCTACTACCATAAGCACTACTACAAGTACAAAACAATAAGTACGTGATAGGAAAGCTTGAAGATCTCAAGTAAAACCTATCAATCTTACAAAAAATAACGAGAAATATCCGCCAAACTCCAAGAAAAAATCAGAGAAATAGTAGTTTTATTGCGATAATAAAAAATAACATAAGGAAAATATCTAGATACAGCTGATCCTCAATTTGAGAGGAGGATCTATCTCTCCCAATCCCTATACGCCGTTAGAGCCTCAGTTGCCAAACTCCAAGACAAAAACAACCACAATCAATTGCATATCCCTAACCCTCATATTTTTCTCCTGCTTAAAGCATACAATTAAAACCAAATTACCCCTTAGCCCTAGCCGCCCCCTCCTTCCTAATTGAAATCTCTAATGGGTCCCACCCACCTTGGGCGACATCCCGGGGGTGGACTGCTTGGTCCATCTCTTATAAAATTTGGCCGGCTCTTTTCCAAGGGCCGTCTAGACCGGTCAATACCCCCTCCCAAAGAACCACCTTGTCCTCAAGGTGAAAGAAGGGAAGCTATTGCTTCACCCTCTCATAAGGCTCCACCTTGGGGCAAGCTTCTCATTCCTCCTATTGGCGATGGTCTTTTACCTGTAAGGCCGGAGCTTTAAGAACACCCTCTTACCTACCTAAAATTGGATGTCCTTCCTATGCTCATATGCTTCTCTTCTTAATCTAATATGCCCTCAATAGATGCTTGTTCAATTCTTCCAACACACTGTCCCTCTCTTCCAAATACTTATTTACTGAAGAAATCGGGGTGATATTTTGCCCAAAGTGCACTAAGTGAGGTGGATCTCATCCGTACAACACTTTAAATGGGGTCATATGAGAAGTCGAATTTTATGAAGTGTTGTAGCAGTACTCTACCCATGCTAACCACTTTGCCCACAGCATGGGTGTCTCCGACACAATGCATCGTTGGTATGTCTCCAAGCTCTTATTGACCAAATCTGTCTGCGGGCGGTAGGCGGTGCTCCTCATGAGTACTATCCCTTGTAGTCTGAATAACTCCTTCCAAAAGTGATTGAGGAACACCTTATCCCTATCAAATACTATAGACTGCGGTATCCTGTGCAATCTGACCACCTCCCTGATAAAAGTTGATGTCATTGTTACTGCTTTGTAGGGATGTCATAGGGGAATGAAATGAGCTTACTTGCTTAGCCTGTATACGACCACAAAAATCACTATGAGCCCTTCTGATCGGGGTAATCCATTTATAAATCCATGGATACCTCCCACACCTAGTCTGGTAGAGCTAAAGGTTGCAGTAATCATGCTATAGATATGTCCATGTACTTTTTCCTCTACCAGATGGCTATTAAATCCTCTACATCCTTGTGCATTCCCTTCCAATACAACTTTGAGACGATTCTCTTGTAAGTTTTATGCACCCCTGAATGACCCCCAACAGTGCTCCAATGGAACTCCTGGAGTATATGTGGGATGTGAACTGATGTCCTAGGCATCACAAATCTCCTATGGTACAGGAGCCTCTCACATTCTAAAGAATATCTTGGGTGGCTACTCTCCTCCTTCAATAAATTAGTTCTAATCCTTTACAACTCCTCATCTCGTGCACTCTCATCCTTAATGGCCGCCCAATCCAGCATTAGTGGTATCGAAACTGCTATTGTCTGTAACTCCCCCTTACACTTGGACAAGGCATCTGCTTCGTTGTTCTCTATCCTTGGCTTATACTGAATTTCAAAATCATATACCGATAACTTTGACAGCCATCCCTGGTGCTCCTCTGCTCCAACAAGCACTTTAGGCTTCAATAGTCCATTTTGATAATGAAGTGTCGGTAAAACAAGTAGGGTCTCCACTTCTGGATGGCTAACACAATGGCCATCAATTCTCTCTCATAGACTGACTTCATCCTGGCTCTAGCTGTCAGCACGTGGCTAAAGTAGGCGATGGGTCTGCATGAGTACTGCTCCTAATCCATACCCTAAGGCATCTGTCTCCACAATGAAAATCTGAGTGAAATTTGGTAGGGTTAAGATCGACATAGTGTTCATGGCCTTCTTGAAGCTCTCAAAAGCTGCTTTGGTCGCCTCCCCCCATAAGAAATCATCATTCTTCAACTGTTATGTTAGTGGCCATGCAATGGTGCTATATCCCTTCACGAGCCTCTTGTAGTAGCCTGTTAGTCCTAGGAATCCCCTCAGCTCCCTGAGATACTTGGGTAATGGTTATCTCAACATAGCTTCTATTTTGGCCTGATTCGCCGCTACACTCTCCTTAGAGACTACATACCCTAAGTACTCCACACTGGCCTGTGCAAAATAATATTTCTTTAGATTAACCCTCAGCTGGTGTTCATGTAACACTTCTAAGACCATCCTCAGGAGCCAGTGCTCCTCTTCCATGATTGATATTCTATCACTGCTTTCATTTGGCTCATCTCCTCTTCAAGGAATTCTTCCAACACATTCACTTTATTAGTCGCCATCGATACCTGGTTCTTTGTAGACTAAAAAATTTGGATCTTGGCCCCAACAAAAGCAAACAACCCCTCTTTCGGCCAAAAAAACAGCAGTTGGTTTTCATCAAAATAATCGAAAAAGTCTCAAAATCCTCTCTGATACCAATTTGTCATGAAACACTTGAAGATCTCAAGTAAAACCTATAAATCTTTGCAAAAACAGCGAGAAATATTCGCTTAACTCCAAGGAAAAACTAGAATAACAGTAGTTTTATTGCGATAATAAAAAATACTGGAAGAAAAATATCAAGTTACAGTCAATCCTCAAGCCAAGAGGAGAATATGTCTCTTCCAATCCCTATACGCCGGTAGAGCCCAAGTTGCCAAATTCTAAGAAAAAGAACAACCACAATCAATTGCATGATCCAAACCCTCATATTTTTCTCTTACTTAAAGCATACAATTAAACCCAAATCCCCCTCCCCCCCAATTGAAATCTCTAGCGGGCCCACCCACCTTGAGTGACAAATCCCAGAGGACGGACTGCTTGGTCCGCCTCTTATAAAATTGGGCCGGCCTTGCTAAGGCTGGATCGGTCTAATAATACGCTACTGAAAGATAGTAGAAAACAATTGCTGGCTAGTAAGTGTCAAATCACTACCTAGACCCCTTTAACTGGCATTCTAGTCTATACAGCTGGATTGTTACGGGCCACTTAACTTACAGAGCTAGGTCATAAGACCCTTCGTCAAACAACTTCTAAATCTAGAAATCATAAGACCTATCTATCCAAATCAAACCATTGGGCATCTTAGCCTATATGGCTAAGTTGTAAGACCCATTATATGGGTCACCTCTAATAGAGGCCATAAGACCTATCATTAGGGCTACTTTTAAAGAAAAGCCATAAGCCCTTACACAAATCCAATCATACGAGCAACTCCTAAATGCGGCCGTAAGACCCAATTCAAATCCAAACTTTAGGCAACTTCTAAATGGAGCCACAAGTCCTAACCCAAATTAAACAACCTACACATATCCACTTCAGTCTACTTAGGATCCCTAAGAGATGTAACCCATGACGGTTAATCAGTTTCTCTGGATATTACGATCAATGGTCTCTAGTGTTGGTAGATTGAAATTTACGGTATTCCCTGGATGACAGAATCATGGGATCTTGATCAGGTTTACCTTTATCCCGCACAACTTTAGAACATTCACACACTGTTGCACACACATCTGCACTTCTGTCACTAATTAAATATATTTCCTTAATCAAGAGTACTCTTCTACACATTATGAGGGGTAATTAATTATGAGGGCTTGCACTCATAGGATGTAGAGTTCAGATCTAAATAAACCCTGACACTACCCTCAAGAAAAATCTGATTAACTTAAAATTTTAATCTACCTCATCCTTAAGTGAGGTTTGTGCCTGAAGCATCCATTTTTTTTTCCTAAGCGAACAACAATACAAGATATATCATAATATTGTGCTACTTTAGTTTCTTATAAAGCATCAATTGTATTCTTATGTTATGTTGCATGGCTTAGTAGATTGTTATAATGTCATTGTATTATGCATTTTCCATTTCTGTTTATATTAAAAATATGTAAGGTTTTATTTGTCAATTGTACCCCTTTGGTTTCTTAAGAACTTGGATTCATTTTGTGAGAAAAATGATATTTTCATTTGTTATGGTTGATCGAGCCTCCTATCTCTCTTTGTGCTACATTTTGGGATTGCTAAGGGTTTTGGATCCCTTTTGTTTATAAAAACATATTTTTTAGCGTGTTTTATAATTTTTTTAAAGAATAAAGTAAGTTTTTTTTTTTTAAATTCTCAGAATTTTTAAATGTAACCTAAAAATAACTACTACTGTCAATCGCCACTACCATCACCATTAACTACTATCTCCTTCTATTGGTGACCACTGCCAACAAGCATCACCAACAATCATTGTTGCTGACAAAAATTGCCATTGTGGTTGTCTCGCCAACGGCCATTGCTGCTCCATTGGTGACCGTCATCACCACTGTATAAACGAATGAAAATATACTTTTAAGATGCTAAATATTTTTAATTTCATTTCAAAACATAAATGAAAAACAAAATAATAATAATAAACAAAAAATAGAAGTGATCCAAACAGCTGCTAGTATTTCCAATCCAGGCCATCTGCTCAAGGAGTCTCATTAGATGTTCTAGAAGCTTTCTCTTTTTTGGCATAAGCTCCATTTTTCTTTCTTCTCTCCTTTTTCTTCTTGTTCTTTCATTTGTATACTCTTCTCAACGCATAGTTTGGGTATAGATTTTCTTATGCTGTCAGCCTAAGCTATTAGATAGATTGTCTGACTGAATTTTTTTCTCTTTTCTTTTATCAGAAACGAAATGAGAGGAAGGAAGAAAGTGAGAGGAAGTATTACGAGAACAAGACTCATGTATCTGGAGACTAACTCTGCCGAAGCTGACTTGCAGTTGCTTCTTGTTATTTACAAATACAACAGCTTCTTGTGCTCTAAAAAATATAACGGTTTTCCTTTCAGTCCCATGGTATCATGGGTTAATCCCAGTTTTGTATTAATTATAATTGTCCTGATTGCTCACTGTTGACTAGCAATTGGAAACACCCCATCGGAAAGCTTAAATTATTAGCTACCAGATCTGTGATTACTTTCACCTTTTATTAGCTGATTTAATAATATAAGCACCATTCGCTTCACTTCTTTTATTAGCTGATTTTTATGTAAAACTAAGATATTAAGCACAAAAAAAAAAAAAAAAAAAAAAAATTAAGCACACATTCCATCACTGCAAATTTTTAGCACTTGATAGTCTGGCGCCGTCTATGAGAAATCATTTCCAATATATTATAAATATATTTTTTTTAATTGTTGACAATCAATTCATCACTCAAGAACATCACAATTAAAATAGTTAAGGCCCTTTACACATTACTTTTGAGAATTATATTTGCAATTGAAGAATTTCAAGTTTAACTCTTGTAACTCTTAGAGGAGATTGGACAATAAAGATCATGATCACATCATGATGTAGCTATGGCACCACAAACTAATAATAATTTATGGCTGATCTATTTTTTTGATGCCACTTGGGCAATACCTCCTTATGCTATAGCTCCCTCTTCACTACAGCCTCATCAAGTTCTCTCCAACATTTCCAGTTCAACACATCCTTTCCATGTTATTTGGCAAGCCCATAACTATACCCTAGCCATGAAGGACTTAAATTAACATCACCTTATTATAAGAGGTGAGTTGTGTGACTCCTAACTCAAGAGGAACTTCATTTGAGGGAAAATAATTAATTTATGAATTATCACAACTTTTAATATCTTGTTTTTTTTTAATGATGCTATTCTCCAATATCTTATTCCAGTGAGGTTTTTAAGTATTTTGCAATTTATTCATATGACGAGGCTTTTAATCCCTTTGAGCACATTGACCACTACACTGCCATCATGCATATTCAACACCCTTTCTCTACCAGGTCTTCCATAGAACTCAAGGGATAAGCTCATACATAGTTTATATTCTCTTTTTGGTAGAACTATTCATACTTCTATCAATCTAGCTAAAGTTTTTTGTCAAATAACTCACCGCCGACCAATGAATCATTAAGGACTCCTCTTATATTCTTAGGATTCACCAAAATAAGGAAAGAACTTTAAGGAATATTTTAAAAGATTCTCTTTCACAAAAAAAATCATATTTTGAGAGTGGATCCAGAGTTACTATGATATATTTTTCTTGTGTACAAGAATAAATTACTATAAATAAGATCACAGACTTTTCTTCTAATTAATGCGATACATAGTTCACTCTTATGCCGATCTTATTAATCAAATAAAAGTATAAATTATCGTTAATGTCACCATAATTATTCATCGAATGTAATAAAAATAATCCTCCAACAAACATAAGAAATCACAGAAAGAAAATGTTCAATCTTTTTAATTAAAATTTATGAATAGTCAAAACACTAGAGATGCTTTTCTCATCAAATTTAACTCTAGTCATCCACTGCATTAAACATGTGCAGAGGTAACGTCTTGACGTAGATTCAAAATTCACAATACCATAAGTGGCCAAGCTTATTCATAAGATTGTAACTTCCATCATTCAATAGGACACTTAATAGAAATATATTTTTAGTTGAACGAAAAAATTGAATGTCCAGCTCACCAAGAATATTTGGGCCTTTATTTATAAGAATAACTTGCCGATCATTAACTTCAAAATAATGGAGATCAGAAAAATAATAATAAGAAATTATTAAAGTTATTGAATATAAGTGTCATCACATTATATTTGCCCTTATTTGTTGAATACTTCATCACTAAAGCAACTTAAAGAAGTTGGACTCAAAATTTCTAAAGAAATTTATGTATTTACTTTTATTAGAGATAAAGATATCATTTAAGAAAGTATCTCTTTAAATTATCAATAGTATTTTTCATAAATAATATTATATCTAACAAAAATCTTAGAATGCATGCCCATGAGGAAGTGATTATGGTCATGATCATCATTAGGAAGATTCCATGAGAGCAAGTTGTTGATAAAATCTTCCCTCATCCAAAATCTCATAATGTAAATGTCTCCTATGATATAGGATCATCGAAAATTCTCAGGATGCATAATTCATTTAATTATATTATTGAAGTACTCAAATATTGGATATATAATATATAATCAAGGGGATCAATATTGATCGCTCGATAAAGAATTTTGGATTATGGCCAATTTTATTAAACCCCCTCTCAAAAAGCCATAAATAGGGCATTATTTTCTTTGTGAGGGGGTTTCAAGGGCTAAAAGAGCTCAATTGCATTATCTAGCGATCATTATCGATGACTACCATCAACGATTGCCACCAATGGAATCGAAAGAGGGAATGAATTATTTAAAAGATGGGTATGTTAAAGTTACTAACAAAAAAAGAGCAAAAATATTAAGAAAATTTTGGCATCTACTCCTATCCTAGCATCTACTCTTAGGGTTGCCAGATCTTTAAAATTTTCAAATACTTCTAATGTTTTATACCCTTATTTGGAATATAAGGGGGGTTGGAGGCTCTGTCTCTAAAGATAGAGTGAGGAATATGTGTAGAGTTCATAAGATTTCTATTTTGATTTTAATTTTGCCTTTAGTTTCTGTTGATAAAATTGATTCTACACGTAGGTTTCTTGGGTTCAACAAGATTTTTGCTAATTGCACTAATAAAAGTTTGCTTTTTTGGTACAGTAGTATTAAGATTTACATCATTCAGGATTTTTCTCATACTGTCCACACTAGAATTGAACAACTTATTTGTTATGGGTTTTTTGTGTATGTTGTTTTTAGTTGACAAGATAGGATCCCCCTTTGGGATAACCTTCAAAATATTTCTATGACTATTGATAAACCTTAGCCGATTGGTGCAAATTTTAATATAATTTCCAATACTAATGAAAGGATTGGGGGTTGTTTGCTCAATGCTTTGGCCATGGATGACTTTAATAGTTTGATTGACCATATGACCATATGAGTAAAACCTTATCGTATCATTCTCCATTAATGCTGAGCATCAGCTTAGTTAGCCCTGAAATGAAGCCTAACTTTTATTTTCAAAACATGTGATTGTTGGATGAAGGTTTTCTCAATCTTTTGGATACTAATTGGTTTGATCCTTTAAATCCTAATGATAATATTAGAGGGATTCATTGACTTTGCATGAGACTCAAAAGATTCAAACAAAAGCATAAGTGGTGGAATAAGGTGGTGTTCAAAAATATTTTCACTAATAGTTTAGATGCTGAGATTAAAGTTAATTCTTTAGAAAGTTTTTATATGCTTGATGATTCTTGTGTGAACCTTGCTAAGCTTAATGAAGCCAAAAAAGATATTTTTAAATTACAAGAAAGGAAGAGTTTTTTTGGAAACAACAAGTTTCTTCTAAATTCTTGGTTAAAGGTGACAGGAACAATAAAAATTTTCACTGTATTTCTAATCACAAAAAAGATTTCTAGTCATATTCATAAAATTACTCATCCTAATGGAATGGTTTTAAATTCTCTTGATATATTTTATGTGTATGGTGTTGACTATTTTATTAATATTTTTAATGTTGATTTCATTCCTCAAGTAGATATTGATAGATCCCTAGAACCCAAGCTGGTTGATGAGAATTAATGCTTTCTTAATGGCCAACCCTTTAGAGGAAGAATTTTGGGACACTATTAATAAAATGAACTCTGATTCAGTTGCTGGTCCTGATGGCTTCACTACATAATTTTTTTTCAAAAAGTCTGTAAAATTATTAAAAAGGATTTGGAGGAGGCTATTTTAGATTTTTTTTATGGGTAATCCATATCCCAAGTATTTTTCTAATACTGCTATTGTTTTGGTGTCTAAAAGACAAGTTATTAATTACTGTGATGATTTCATGCCTATTAGCTTATGTTTGTTTTTAATAAATTTACTTCTAAAATTATTATGGGGAGATTGCCTTTAATTCTTCCTAAAATTATTTCCCTTGGGTAAATTGATTTTGTTAAAGGTAGTTCTATTTTCGATAATATTCTTCTTGCTCAAGAATTAGTGCATGATATTCACAAACCCGTCTCGGGTGGAAACATGATTATTAAGATTGACATTGCCAAAGCTTATTATAATTTAACTTGTAATTTTCTTTATACTATTCTTTCATAGTTCAGTTTTAATGAGGAGTTTATTAAATTGATAAAATATAGTAATAATAATAATTATTATTTGTTACCATTATGGGAGTAGTCAGGGTTTATTTACTTCTACTAATGGTGGTAAACAAGGAGACCCCCTATCTTCGGCCTTTTTTATAATGTTGCAACTCGAACTTATGAGTTTATGTTTTGATGATAACAAATATTGTGGCTCACTTTCTGCTGTCTACCTGTATTTACAATATACTTTTCTTTATGTGTTTACTAATATTTCAGGATTACAGTGCACCTTACAAGGCTCAAGTTTTGGCAGAACTATTCTATTTGTAATTTTCATTAATGTATTTCTTGGTTTGTCAGGGTGTTTGCTTGCTTGTAATCTTGCTCACTTATTTCTATTTTAGAGTTCTTTATTTTTGCACACATCATCCGGGATGATCCAAACATCGGCATGGACGATCAGCTGAAAATAGAAACCCTAATTAGGGCATCTTGGTTAAGGTAGCCGTCTTTACTTACATCATCCTGGACGATCTTTGTATCGGCAAAGATGATAGGCTCAATTCAGAAAGAATCAGTCGCCAGATCTATTTATGTATTATTTATTTTTGGATATCATCCAGGACATCATCCTAGATGATTCAACACAATTATACCTAAATTAATCTGATAATTAAGAAAAATAATTAAGGCTTGATTGATATGATCGTATCGTCCTGGACGATCTCACGATCCGCCAAGACGATCAGTTCAAAAACCTTAGTTATTCCTGGACGATCACAAATCAGACAGCTTCTTTTCAGGGTGATGCTTTGGACGATATGTGCTGATTTAAACTAATCGTATAGGATGATATGCTATCGACCTGGACGATATGAATAAAAACCTTCGATAGTCCCTAATCGTACAGGATGATATTCATGTCATCCTGGATGATAAAGTCGGCAAGTTGCAATTAATAATCTCGTTTGGAGCTCTTCTATTTAAGCTTTGATAAGACACTTTGTAAGTGTCTTTGG